TTTTCCTCATTAAGGAAGTAAAATTCAAATTCAATTGAATATGAATTTAAATAATTTCCAAAATTAAAGGGAGCTAATTTAGGAAAGGATTTGAATGCTAGATTTTGAATATTGGAGCCAAGAGATGGATGATGGCCGACAACTTTGGGAAGGGGATTGGGCCGGCGGTTGGGTGTCTTTTGGCCTAGGGTTTGGGTGGAGTTTTTGGCCAATAGGAGAAAGAGAGATGGGGAAGTGGCAGTTAGGAAAATAAGGAGAATAAAAAAAAAGAAGACAAAACCGCGAGCCTTGGACTCTTCCGAAGACTAACATGTGATACGTTGCCCTTCTACAAGGGACTTCAAGCCACGAGCCCGGATTCATCCTGCGGCTGGTGAAAACTCCGATTCCTTTCCATAAGAATCTCACTAACGTCATCCCAAAAGAACACAAGTGCAGAACACAAATTTTTATTATAATCCCATCATACCTAATACATGATGAGAAGTGGCCTTTATATATAGGCCTAAAAAAAAACTAAAAACAAATTTGACTATTGGGCTTACATAAGACAAGACTCTTAAATAAAAAGGGTAAAAAAAAAATTGCAAAATTAAATCAAAATACAATTAATAAATTAAAATAAAATGGAGTGATCTTGGCCGTCGATCTTCGACTCTTCCTTTGAATATCGTCCACTGTCGGATGTCCGCATCAACAACATTTCACTCATAACAAATGTGATCGGATCCACAACACAAGCATGCAATTAGATTGAAGGTAGAAGGCAATCTTTTGAAAATTAAAAAAATGAAAGTTTTGCATACATTTCGATATCAAATGCCTGTGCAAGTGATTAAATACAAAAAAATTTAAAATCTTGTACACATCACAACATAATTTTTAACTTAGAACATCGTCTCAAGAGGTATGCCACTATCTCGAAAGCATAACACTGCCTCAAAAGAACATATATTATTGGTCATTGATTGGAAGATAATTGCTCTTATATCTACACAAAAAAAATCCTGGATCGATGGCCTCTATACCAATGGTGACTTCAGAAGACAAGCTATGCCTAATGGTGGCCATGTTGTATTTGGCCATATAGGAGAAAACATGCACATTGATGCACTCAACCACATGAACAACGAGAAGGGCCGTTGATAAATACAATATATTGATGATAGATGGTTGCCAAATATGATGCCTGAACATGGATGTGGGGACTTGAATACTCTAACACGGCATAATAGCAAAAAACTGACACAACACACCATGAACCTGTTATATTTGTAAATTACTAATATGAAATCTATTATTTATACTATTCTCTACTAAAAGCATCACAAATAATTTCTTTCAACTGTGAAATATACTTCATAAAGAACTTAATATTGTATGACGTATTTATAACTTGCCTATTGCATAAAATTGAAATTGTCAAGTAATGTTAAATCTTAAAGCTTAGTTCAATAAATAATATTCAAGAACATATAAACTTATTATGAATTTACTGTTTTAGTTATATACACTTGGCTAGGGTAGAAACACGGCTTCGGCTTTAGCAGTTCAGATTCATAGGGTTAGGGCTTCGGCTTCAAAGGTACAGGCTTCGATTTTGAAGCTCTTTCTCTGTGGCTATGGGCTTCAGTTTTGAAGACTAAAGGCTTTGAATATATCTTCTGGCTTTGGCTTCAAAGATGATGTGGCATGACATGGCTTCAAAGAAGGATATGGGCACGGCTTCGGCTTCAATCGAAGGCAAAGCTCTTCAGTCTTGCAAATCTACATCGTTAAAGAAAAGAAGATGTGGATGGTAGAAGCAGAGGTATGCGAATCAATGGTTATTATTGTTACAACTTGGGAAAAATAATATGATATTAATTTTATTAATTTTGCGAGTTTCCTTCCAATACTTTAGTTTGAGTTCTAATGTCCATGCATGTGATCTGTGTGCCCCCCATGTTTTGCAATGTTGGAGCCTAAATTCGTAATAAAAAATCTTCGATGCTAATTTTGAAGTGTTAGACATAGGTTGAGATGTGTCCGAGCTGTGCCTGTGTCTGTCATGTGTCCAACACAGGCACAACAACCAGTTGGAAGTGTCTGTATTTTGTAGGCTGCCAAAGATCCACATTATAACCAAGTTGGAGTAGATCGAAAAATCACAAATCACACTGGAAAATTCGATCATTAGATCTAAGATTGTAGGAGATCAACAGCCGATGCAGGGTCGTATATGGTGAAGACTGTGGTGTATGAGCAATGGTTGGTCAATGATTAGTTATTTTGAATGTAGGAGAATGACAACTTCATGACATCAACATGTCAAGAATGCATGATCGATGGATCTATAACTGTTGAAGTTAAAGCCTACCTCGAGTTAAGGGAAACAGATTGTTTAGCAAGGCAGATGAATGAATTACGAGTTAAAGGAGATATATAGCCTATCATAGGTTGAAGGAGCTAGTCGGGAGGGCATAATGGTTGAGTCCTGATGATGGGTACAGGACCTATCACAATTTCAAAGGTGGCGAAAGTGATGTGATGTCATGGGGATGAAGGGGTCACGTTGAGTTGAGAGAGCAGAAGGATTGCATCGTGATATTGAGGGGATAAAGGCGAATCATGCGAACGCTAAAGCTTTCATACCATATAGAAATAGAGTTGAAAACCTGTAATCTTTTTTCTCCTTGCTTTTTAGCTGGGACTGTTTTTCTACTCTCTTGAACTAGTTTCAGGGATATAAGGGGGGAAAATTAAGTAGATTGATAAGAGATGTTTTGGGCCATGGTTTAAAGGGTTTGAGGGGTTTTGTTTGAAGGATGAAATGTTCATTTAAATCCAAGGAGATACCTAAAAAAAGATCTCATGTTTGGAGAGGAGTGTTTTAAAGATTTGGAGTTTTCTTTGGCATAAAAGGATTATATATCTGGTCTTATCCCTAGAAGATACTTTTTTTGTTGGAGGGGAATATGTCTTTCCCTTTAAGGTGGAATACGATGCTCTCCTTAAAGGTTGTAAAGAATGATGATTATTTAAAAACTATCTTATAATTGTAGGATCAAGAATTTATTTTTCCAAGATTACACAATTAAGCTGTGTCTAGATTGTATTGTCATGATTTGCCCTATCCCCCAAACATAGGGTTGAGCCTGTTTATATTGTGCCTAGTGATATCCAAAAGGTGGTGTTTTCACAAAAAAAAATTGAAAATGTGGTGTTTACAATATTCATTTATAAGATGGCATATTTATTACTTTCTCTTTATGTATTAACTGGACTAAATCCATGTAGTTGCAATGCTAACATGTCCTGGAAAATTTTTTTAACTTAATTTATGGACTTGAGTTTTTATTTTCTGTTTAGGGCTCCTAACTGTCGCTGTATCTTAAGAAAATTGTTGGTCAAATGCCCTTCAGTTTCATTTACAGAACTTTTGATTTTCATGGCCTACCTGTTATTGGAGCTATGTTTCTGTCAGCATTCTAGATTTGGATGCTTTTCTACCATGCTGCATCCCTCCAATGCTAAAAATGGCCACACACCAGTTGCTACTCTTATATATGTGCCTAACGTTTTGGAAAAAAGATGCAGCCTTGACCTACAATTAAGGGCTGCAAACAAATTGAGCCGAGCCGAGGTGTTTTTTTTTTTCGTGTTTATGCTCGTTTATTATCAGCTTGCCCAAGCTCAGTTCGAGCTCAATTTTGAGCTTTTCTGTTTGTGTTCAAGCCTCATTCATTTAAAATGATAAATATTAATATTCAGTTCGTTTTGTGCTTATCGAGCTTTAAACAAATGAGCTTTATCAGCTATTGACGAGCTTTGCTTTCTAGATGTTCATTAGCTTAACAAATAAGACTTTTCGAGCCCACTAGTAAACAATTACTGTAGAGCTTGTTCGTGAACATATCTAGTATTTTCGAGCTATCAAATGAGCTCATTCACAAACAAACGAGCTCAGAAAATAATTTTTTTTATAAACATGCTTGTTCATGAACAATTTAAAGAAACAATCAAACAAATATGAACAAATATTTCTTATTCATGAACAGATTCATTCTAATGAAGGATTATAACTGAAAAAAATGAAATTAATTTTTTATAAAATAAGAACGATTTATTATAATAATACTATATATATATATATGACATGAATCCTTTAAGAAATTGTGTTAATGCTAGGGCGTCCCCTGGAAGCGACGCGCTGTATGGCCTGAATACAGTGACAAGTGTGCAAGGGCCGCTGCACCGGCGCTCGGGTGCAGTGTTAAATAGGCAAGGGTTCCCACATCAAGGACGAATGTTTTTCTATATTTTTTTTATGAGACTTAGTCGACCTCATATGAAATATTAATTGAGTTTAAAAAAAAAAATAATAAAAATAAATAAAAAAAATGAAATATTAATTGAGTTTCTTAACAAGATTGTTTATGATCTTTGTATTGAATGCCAATCGAGCTTTTTAGCAAGCTTCTTATTGAGCTTTAAATGATGTTGTTTATAAATATATGCGAGTCAAATAGATATTTGTTCAAGCTTGTTTATTTAACCATTGAGTATTTACAAAAATGTTCAAACTTGTTTGATTACTCAATCAAACAATCATGAACGAGTTATAATTGAGCCGAGTCACGAGTAGCTCGTTGAACACTCAATTCTTTTGCAGCCCTACATACAATTCTAGCTTGCTAGTTGTTTGTAGTGTTCATCATCAACCCCAACCCTGCTAATTTAGGTTTGTTGTTTTTTTTTGGTGTTTGTTCCTCTCAAAATTCAAATTGACAAATCAAAATCTCTGTTGTCTATTAACTTAGTTGTGAAATCTTGAGCTGAGCATGCGGTCTGTTTGGAATCTTAGATGCATGCACAGTGGCATTTTTATTATCTCTTTCCATCCGCATGCAGTTCTAGCAGGCATGATCGTGTTTTATCTTCTATCCAAGGTTTATATTTATTCAGACTTTAGTGTAGTAACATTCAAGACATGATCTAACTTTATTTCAGGCTTTCAGGTAATGAGCGCTCTTGAAAAATTGACAAGAGGAGTTGCTTGGGGAAATCTTGACATCCTCCTTGTTGATATGCCTCCAGGAACAGGAGATGCACAGTTGACTATTTCTCAGAGGCTGAAGTTATCCGGTATTTGGAAACATTATGAAGTTGTTCATAATTATTTGATTTCTCTAAAATGGCGACCTTCCAATGAGCCAGTTAGGAGAGTATATCTATTAGATTTGACTTATGTTAAAATAGGTAGAGGCAGACCTAAAAAGACTTGGTTAGAAAATATTAGGAAAGACCTTTCTTTATTAGATTTAAACGAGAATTTGACTTTTAATAGGATACAATGGAGGAAAAGGATTTATGTAGCCGACCCCACGTAGTGGGATAAAGGCTTGATGTTGTTGTTGTTGTTGACTATTTCAGGATAATGGCGTTGTTAAATAGACGCTTAAATGAAAATTTTGGGAGCTGTTAGCTCTCAAATAAAAATTATGTGCTTGCTGTTTGGTTAAGCATGTACTTGGGATATGTCTTCTATGATAATTTTTCGTTAATTTTCTCTGGCAGTACCTATATATTTTTGAGATGTTAACAACTGTTTTAAAACAAGTTGCGAGATGATATGGCTTCACATAGCTATCAATTTGTAGATTTCTTTGGCTTTTAGAATGAATCCGATGGTTCTAGCACAAGAAATGTATTTTTTTTTTCATTTGTTGAAACCAATATACCAACCCCACATAGTGGGATAAAGGCTTGTTGTTGTTGAAAGCAATATGGGTTTCAAAAGGTGCAGTTAAACAGTGCTAATGATACACCCACTCTCATTGGACATTTAGGTGAACTGTGATTGGAGCAATTTATGGAAATGATGTGAGGAAAATATGAAGTTTGGGCCACAGTTTTATGTAGAGTTTAAGTAATGAGGACATTAGAGATCAGCGGCTACGATCTGGAGTTTATTTTTTTGATGTGCTTTATGTATTATTTTATTTATATTTTAGTTTTCCATTTTACCCCTAAGGGTGGTCATGTGGTGTTGTAGCCCAAAGGACATTTTAGTCATTATTTCTTTTCTTTTCATGAGGCCTATTTATAGGCTAGTTCCCTTGTATTTTGAGTTAATGATGAATATGAATAAAAATTTCAGCTTTCTTGTTCTTGATCTCTTTGTGAGTTATTGAGAGGAGAAATCCTAGGAGAGGACCATGCATCACCCGTCAGCGCCGGTGGATTCCGGGACTCGCAGCTAGTACTCATAATATTTTCTTATCGTTTCTTCCTTTTCCCTACATCCGACCACCTCTTCTTCCCCAAACACCCGCCGGCCACTTCAAGTCCCCAAGCCACCGATCAACCTCAACAAGATTCCTTCCATCCAACCCACACCCCTTCCTCCTTAGCCAAATGCCACCCAAAGCCCAAACCCTAACCGTCGGCCTTCCCCTCCCATGGATCCAAAAATGATTGTCTTGTCTCTTTCCAAAAGTGGAGCATGAAGATTAGGAGGGAGCTCCAACTCAAAATTTGATTTCCAATTCAAAATTTGAATTCTTTCCTAAATTAACATAATCTATATTAGGAAAGTGCTCAATTCGTGGATCTAAGTTATCTAGCTCAAGCCCTTGGCCGCCGGCTTGAAGCCTACACCCGCCGGCCCCTTGCGCCACCGCCTAAAGCCGCCGTCCACATCCTTCTCCTCCACAATTGTCGCCGACCACATAATTCCCTCCAAACTTTTGAATTCGAATCCACCATAAATGCTTTCTTAATTTAGCACCACGAATTTAGTACGAGAATTAAATTCAAATTCAAAATATTTGATTTTCAAAACTCTTCTTAAATTCTCCTCCTTTAATTTAGGAAGTCCCCCCAATTAACTTAAATCTAAAATTAATTTCAGATTTAAGTATTTAATCCCCTTAATTGTTTGGGCCCACCTCCTTAATGCCTAACCCCTCTCTCTCTGCTCTCCTTGGTCGGCTCCTTCCCCCTCTCTTTAATTAATTAGGTCCCATAAATTAAGGATCTAATTAATTCAATTCCATCCCCAATTTCTTTCCTAATTCCCACTCGTTTCAAATTCAAATTTCAAGGAAATTACTCTCTAATTACTCACTAGATCTGAAATTATTTTCAGATTTAATCCTTTTCCCTTTTCCCCCTTTGCTTGGCTGAACCTACCCAATCCCTTTCCCCTCCCACTCTCTACTTTTTTTGTTAGACAATCATGCATGGCTGACCTGGATGTTGATCATGGGTTCGTTAGAGGATTCTCTAGACCGGACCGACATTCTCTGATCTCCATTCTTCGATTTCAATTTGGACGTCGACGACTCTGGAAAGCTACATTGAATGCATCATCTTCACGTTGGCCCCGTCAATTGAGGAACACCTCCCAATCGGATCGTGGATGATCGTGGGACGTCAAACAATCCATCCGTCGTCGGCTACCTTCGGTGAACTCTTTTCCTCACTCTTTATTTACTCGTTACTTTCAATTGTGGATTTTAATTGATTCATTGAGGTCGTGTTAATCCTTCGCTAATGCCTAGTAAATTATATAGTTGTGTGAGGGATCCTTCATAGTATTAATCTCATTGTTATTCTAGGAATTTCTTGTTGAAATTTTCCAGTATGCAATGTTAGACTAATTGATTGTTTTACGGTCTTAACTCCAACACATGTGATTTAACCTAAGCTTATGTCACCGCTCTTTGTGTTTTATGTTGTCGTTCGAAATCACTATAAAGATATAATTATTGTGCTCTAAATATTAAGCGTGCAAATTCCTTAATCTAATCATCATTGCATGTTTGGTTTCACATCATCTTGGTATCAAAGTATGGCTAGCATGTGTTAGATGTGCTAAAAGTCATCATAGGAGCTTACATAACCATTCTTATGTATTGTTACATGCATATCATCATTTAACCTAGTTTAAATTACTGTATGGTTGCTGTTCACATTACTTTTGCACACATCTAGTGAATGTTAGGCTGGTTTCTTAATTGTTTAGGTGCTTTCCTTAACTTAACAACCTTCCTAATTACCTAGATTTCTTAAACCACCTTTGTAGCTTGCTGTCCAAACCGTTCCTGCACCATCTAGTGACCTTTAGGTGAGTCTGATTCAGTGTTTAGGTGCTGTCCTCAACCCAACAACCATCTAAATGGCCTAGATCACGTAAGTCTCTCTTGTAGCTTGCTGTCCAGTAATTTACTGCACCTTATAACGAGTCATAATTATGTTTCCTCCTTGTAGAGTGTTGTCCCTTACATCCAATCTTCTTTAGGTATCACTTAGCACTTCCCAATGGACCCGATAGGACTTCAAAAGAAGTTGGATAACCTTATTAATCTAGTGAGCTCTATGACTAAAACCATGAAGGAGAAATATGACGACTCTCGCCACTCTAGGTACGTGCCCCATTCGGTTGATCATGCTAGTTGGAAGGTGTCCCACTCCGCTTATCAACCTAGACCTGAGCCTAAGCCACAACAACCTCACTTAGAGTCACATTACCGTCTACCCACCTTTGATGGTTCCTTGGACCCTTACTTTTTTAGGGAATGAGTTGGACAATTAGAGGACTATTTTGAATCACGTGATATTCCTAAGTCCCACTAGGTTAGCATTGCTAAGTCTTAATATATAGCGTGAGGCGTAAGCCTTATGCCAGTGAGGCGAGGCGTGCCTCAACCAAGTTGAGGCGCAAGCCTCATAAAAAAAAACTCGAGGCGTAAGCATCGAGGCGTTTTTTATTGGAATTGCGCAAAGGCGGGCCTCAAGGCGAGCCTCATATTGCGCAATTTTAAACTATGCTTTAGTCCACCCTGATCCCAGTCTCCTCAAGGATATCTCTTTGTATAAGGTCTGCCTGGATGATATTAAGTTGATCTCGAAAGAAACTAATATGACCTTGAGCACTATGAAATTAAATTCGGAAGATCCTGATTTACTTATATCTCATACTGAGTTGACTCCTAATAATTCTGAGTTAATCTTGAATAATTCTGATGGTGATGTCGGTAATCTCAAGTTGGAAATGATTCGATTGAATTTATTACCCAATTCAGATCCCGATTTAATTGACCATGAATCCATCGATCTTAGGGTTATAACAAAACCCAAACCTATTGAGATTATTAATATGAATTTGGGGGACAATAATTTGAATTTGAATGATTCTGAGCCTAATTGGAAAAATGATCCTCCTCGTATTTTATTGGAATCTATTTTAGGAGTTGCTCTTTTAGATTCACATTGGAACGAGTGTGCCTTTCTTGATTGGATTTATCTCACCAATCCTCGTACCCACTTTAATGTTAGAGAGAGTGTTAGCCCATACTCTCATGTCATCTCTCTAATTGTTGTGCCTACTTCTGTTCTGGACACTCTACCCCATCTTTTGAGTTCCATACCTAATGGTGACTCTTTTGGCTATCACATTATGGTTGTGAGTCAGGACCCATTGTCTTATCACGTTCCTGATCTCCCCATTATGCCCTCTATATTTTTGTTCTTCCCTGTTAAGGATCATTTTTCTCCTAGTTGGATAAATTTGCTAGATTACCCTGTTGCCCCTAGAAGACTATCTATGAAGTTAGCTGAAACTTCCTATAGAAATGCCTGTATGGCTAAGGATGTCTTCATTGCTCCTCTTACACCAGTTCCCTTAAACATGGAAACTTTGTCCTTTCATTTTGTGATCGACCCGTCTTTATTCCTATCTGTGTGCTTGTGAGTCAGTATGTTTGTGTGTGTTTTAAGTCTATTTTCCTCCATAATTTTCCTCTATTTAAAACTTGTGTGCGAGCTCACAATTCATGTCAATCATCATGCATATCAAGTCTCTTGCATCACATTAGTCCAATATTATTTATCTTGTTGAGTCTTGAATTCTGGTCATATGAATTCACATGAAACATGCCACAATTGCATCTCATCTCCTGAAATGACACATCTAATTGAGCAGAACAATAATAATTATAAACTTCATGTTGATTCTAAACGACAATTTAAAACTTTTGAGTTTAGTAACTTAGTGATGGTGCGGATTCGTCCGGAACGGTTCCCACAAGGAACTGTAAAGGAATCACATGCTAGAAGTGAGGGATCAGTTAAAATAGTCA